TGTTCTTGTTTACTTTATTAGCGTAGGCAAATCCTAATGAGAAAGTAACATGTTAGCAGAGCTATCCCATTACTTGATCAGTAACTCAGAAGGTAAAACTTTTTTTTTTTGCATTTCATTACAGAAATTGGGATCACTCGTATGTCACATACCAGAGAAAGTAGTGCCGAAATCTTGAAACGAAATAAGCCATTCAATGTATATGCTAAAGATTAGCCATATTCCAGTACATAGTATTCACAAACAAGCCACTCACCTATTCCTACAACCACTCTTGCATCTTGTTCAGACTCGGACGTACTAGTACTTTCGGGTTCAATGTAATGGAAGTCCATGATATATCCTTAAATAATTGCCGTTAGCACTGATCTAGCGTGAGAAAAAGCTGTAAATTGTCTACAATCAAGAAGAAAATGAATGTCCGCTATTGAACCACCATAGTTGTTCTGTCGAGTTGGTCAAACTGCGTGGTTTTGTTTATTATCTGGCCAGATTTAGTTGAGGAAAGCAGGACCTCGAACTCCGAGGTTAAACGTCATACAGTTTTATCCTTGTCGTACATAAAGTATAAATACAATGCAGATCGATAAATACGCGAAAATCACATTAATATTAAGAATTTAAAGGAAACTGTTGGTCGCTCTTTGTATATATCGAGGATACTCTGCATGCGTTTTGGTACACTTTGCGATTACACTTCTACATATTCAACAGCATTGTTAAAGCTTATCTCACAAGTAATGACAAAAAAATACACGCTTATAACTGTGTCTACTTCTGTAATATTTTTGTATACATAATACTGACTTATATGTGCAAGTCTTTCAGGATAGGAAAGGATACTACAGCGAAATCCTTCTCAATGATTATTAAAGATTCTAGAGAAACAGATTGACAATGTTATAATAATATTCCAAGTACTTCAGAGATTGCCGGCGAAATAATGGCGGCCAGTATTATTTAATATATCGATTTTGCTCTTATTGTTTTTTTATTTAACAGAAGTTCAAGACTAATATTATAACTTGCAAAAAAATCAAGATGAAAGTGGCACTCTTTTAGATCATATTAATTTAAATCTAATTTTATGAATAAAATTTTGAGTAAGTTGACAAAAAGCAAATGTAAAAGCTTCTTTACATTAACAGATTAGACCTACAGTAGGATGCAAAAGTATCCCCCCCACTTCTAATCCAGGACACGAATGAGTAAATGCTTTGAAAGTTTCCCTGTATATAGTCTGATCACTCGTAAAATTTCAGCTTGATTGGATGTCTCCAGTAAAAATTTACAAACATCCAATATTTGCCTCTAAAACATATGAAAAACATATAAAACACATAAAAACCCTACATCACTTATTTCAATATATACTTCAAAATTCCATATCTCCACATGTTTCTAATTGATTTGCGGGATCTTTTTTTTTGTTTTGTTTATCAAACCAATTCCTATGTATTTCTTTAGATGTGGTGGTCGAAATCGCTATCATACTTGGCAATACACGTGAACTATTTTCATAAGTATAATTATGGCGTACAATTTTTTGTATTTTGTAGTAGCGATTACACAGTAATTTGTTCTAAAATTACATGAATGCAATTTGATGGTTCAGAGAAACAAAACAAAAAAATATCACAAACTTTGGTTAGAGAAGTGTTGAGATATGAATTTTTGAACTTTTATGACTGAAACCCCGAAATATGTCATGGTAAAAACTTTGGTGTTTAGAAATTTTGCTGGAGACATCCGATCAAGCTGAAATTTTACAAGTGATCAGGGTTTATTATACAATATATACAGGGAAACTTTCAAAGCGTTTACTCATTCGTGTCCTGAATTAGAAGTGGGGGGATACTTTTGCATCCTACTGTATATCAGCAAAAATTATATTTTTCGATTTGTAATCTTCTAAATTTTAATTAACAAGTCGAAAAACGCGAACATCTTATGGTATATTTGAGACAGTTATTATAAGTTCAAATCTCACTGAGATTATTAAATGCAAATATAAAGACAAGACGCATTAAGTAAATTAATACATTTACATATTATTATAATGAATTTGTATGAAAACTATAAAATGATTGTCACCGCCATTATTTTTGCCGGGGACTGTAGCAATGAAACTGGAGATGTTATACACGTACTTTGTTCACATGGAACATATGCCCCATTACTAGAGGTAAAGATGGGTAGCCCCAAGAATTTCAGTTTGTGAAACATGAATAAGGTAATAAAATAATTGGTGAATGCGTGACATAGAACTTAGAGGTATGTTACTATGATGCAGGAGCAAAAAGAGAAATTTTTGCAGCTACAACTTTTGCAATATTATGCTTACCCGGCTTCAAATAGGCAGGGAATGGGTTTTTATCTTGCTGGACGTCTTTTCCAGCAGTATTAGTATAATGCATTGAAAGATGCCAACAAATCATTAGAAATTGAACCAAATAATCCCCAAACGTTGGAGACAAGGGGTTTATGAATACAATGCCTTACATGATTTCAATAAATTATTGGAAATCGAACCAAATAATGCATTTATATTGGAAATATTTATCATAGTCTTGAGCAATATGATGATGCATTAAACAATTTTAATAACTTGTTGAAAAGAAAAACAAATGATGCATGGGCATTGTCTAGAAGAAAATCTGCTTATTATGAGCTAAAGCAATATGACAATGCTTTGAAGGATTTCAATAAATCATTGGAGATTAAACCGAATGATGAACGGACATTATGTCAGCACGGTGAAGTTTCTCTCAAAATTGGACAGCAACACAACGTGACTCAGAATGTTAGTTTGTCAGAAAGGCAATGCATTAACATGTGAAGTATAGCAATACATCCCGTTTTCTCGTTTTTGTTGAAGACTGACCTCATAATTGGTCAAGATAGAAATTAATATTAACGTAGCAAGTAACAAGGCAAGTCGGCGCTGACCAAACAGGTCTCGGTTTTAACCGGCTCCCCAACAACTATACCAAATATCAATAAAATCTTAAAGCGGCACGATCTTTTAGTAGAATTGGAGGCTGAGCATTTTCCGAAAATCGTGTCACGAGATTAACCAATCAATCATAATAAATACATAATTTATATCACATGATCTGGTGACAAAAACCAGTAATAGTAAAACAGGGCGCCCGGTTTAAACAGGGTTTACCTGTAATCAATAGTGTTATTCTTTCTCGGGTCAGAACCTAATAAGAATGCCCTTGTTACAGTAGTTGCGGCAATTAAGGCTGAACTAATTCCGAGCGATTTAATTATTGTTTAGCTTATCATCTTGTTCTATAGCTGATATAATTCCTCCGTCTCTTTCTTGGATGCATATTCCATAACCGGCATATTGTACTCAAAAACGAAACTCAAACTGCTGAAATTCAACCTTGAGTCTAAGTAATTTTGCCAGGTAATTATCAAAATTACCGAATCGCTTTGACATTTTCGAATAAAGGCAAAAATTTTGCCTGATAACAGTCGAATATTTCCAATTGCTTCGAGGAATTTTCCGCCGTCAAAGATAAGTCACCTTTGCAAAGTTTATTGTCGACCATATTGTAACAGTTTATTTATAAGCATTATTTCGAATACAAATCTTATAATCTTAATCGCATACATCATACATGTGATAAATAACATATATTGTACAACCTTTGTACATGTGCTTAGTGTCCAGATTTATGACCGCCATTAAATTTAGCTATCATATATTCATATACACCAGTGATTGGTTGAGGTATACAGTCCCGGAGATAGAGGATACATCAACGCTTACACTCTAGGAGAGTCAGTTCATCATCACTTGATTCTTCACTATGCTAGAAGAATCTGCGAGTAATAGTGTTTGTTGAAGTAGTAGCAGAAACTTATTATTCATGGACATGAAGATATTCTCTTTTTTTTCTGCCTAAAAATGAATAGGACCATGAAATGTTGAATTCTATGAACTGTGCAAATAACAGAATTGCAATGTGATTACAAACAATTCAATCGAATAATACTTACATAGATTATTTGGTACATAATCTCATTCCAATATCCACAGGTCTCTCCATTTCCAAATTAGGATGTTCATCCTAATTAGGGAGTTGGTTTGTCAACAGGGAAATGTTTTTCGTTGGTCAGAATATAGTTGTGTCACAATAACAACGGCGTTGCCCGCCAAAATTCATATTTGTTGAAAATGTATTGAACTTTGAGTCCGTTTAATAATCGTTTGTTGAATGTTTATTGCAAGTGTAGCCGTGCGGCTCGAGCGCAGTCGGTTGAAGAGTACCCTTCTACTACACAATTTGGCCATTCTTTCCTGCAGACGAATCTGCTACAATGGCCACTACGCTCAGTACATTTAGCCATCGATGACTCAAATCTTCAAAGTAAAGTCCGGTTTAACGAAGTGCTCCGTTCCATCGCCTGACTTCGTTAATGCGGAATATTCGTTAAAGCGGACTTTATTTTTATAATATATGATTCGTTATAAAGCCATCTTCGTTAAACCGGACCTTCGTTAAACCGGACCTTCGTTAAACCGGACTTTTTCTTCAACGAATTTCTCGTGCCACGAGTGGATTCAGATTGTCTTGTACAACAAACAATCTATGCACTAATCCGGATCCATTACAAAGATCCAAACGACTTTTACAAAGGTTCATTTATTATGTGTGTATCCGGATTAGAACTTTTTGTGACTCTACGGCATTAGATTTCAGTAGAATAGTCGAACAGAAAAGATAGTGGTAGGTGTTAGTATAACGACCTTATAGGTTTTTATTTAACCCAAGAGAGTATATAGCAATTAAAAATGTGTTTGAGGACCAAGTATATCTTAAAAAAAACTTAAATCGTAAAATCATTAACTAAAATTCTTGACAAAATTGCGGTAATATATAACTTAAAAAATATGCATACTGTAATATGAAAAAATAGGGAGTCTGTGTTAAAAATAAAAGCTTAAAATGTAATGATTGTCAAAAACCCCTGCTTCTCAATTACCGCGGATTGCTTCCCGCGACTCTCACACGCTTTGACTGTGTAGCATCTTCTTCTTGCATGGACTTGTCTGTACGTTGCATAAACTTTTGTAGAGATTCTTGAAATTTCCCGTTTTCAATTTCTTTGTTCAGCTCGACCGCCTGTTCGAGCCATTTTCGTTGTAATTCCTCTTTTTGGTATTATCCTTGAGCTTTTTAGAAGTCCTTTGCACAACTGTATCAACTGAGCTCAAAACCGGAACGCAAACCGTTTTTGTTGGCTGATAATCGACTTTAAATCCAAACAACTTTGCTAGGTAACCATCAAATAAACATTTTATTACCGAGTCGTTTTGACATTTTTCGAATAAAGGCAAAAATTTTGCCTTTAAAGGAACTTCCGCTTTGTAATATTCATTGAAGATGGTAATTGAATCTGGCCAGCGCAAACTCGTAAGACCCGATGGCACTTGTTGAGATAGAACCTCAGTCATTAGGGTAATAGCAATTC